GCAAAATGTTTAAATATTGTTTAATTTGTATGATATTTTATAAATTACTCATTGGAAAATTTTAAAAATTTTTCTGTGAAATAATTTTTAGGGCCGCGGTAATCATCAAAAGTAGTTTTTCTTTGATCTTACAAGGTCAAATATTTCAAATTCTTTATGTCCTTAAGAGAAAACACATTATTGATCTCATTATTAGTTGAATAGTTGGGATATTTTTTAAAAGGAATTTATGTAGGTTTAACATTGTATATAAGGTTGCAATGGATTGTTGATACTCTTATACTAAAGCAAGGAGGGAGGTAAATAACACTTCAAAATGATGAATAGAGTGTACAGATCAGTTTTAGATCAATCTTAGATTAATGCTATATCATTTGTAGGTCAATTCTATAACAGTTATAAGTGAGTTCTACAACAATTCTATATTTGTTTTAGATCAATACTCGATCGGTACTAGCTGTGTTCTAGATCATTTCCATTTCTACAACAATGCTAGATCACTTGTAAAACAATTATAGATCAGTTTTATATTAGTTTTAGAACACAACTAGCTTATTTCTAGATCATTTAAGATCATTTGTATACAACAATTCAAAATCTGTTCTGCAACAATTCTAGTTCAATATTTGATCACTTCTTGATAAGTTTTAGGCCACTTCTGGATCAATTCTAAATCACTTCTATAACAACTCTAGATGGTTCTTGTAACAATTGTAGATCTTTCCTAAAGCAATACCAGATCATTTCTAGATAATTTCTACAAAAATTCTAGATCAGTTCTATGATAATTTTTGATCAATTCTAGATCAATACTATAACAGTTCTAGATCATTTCTAAAACAATTCTAGATCAGTACATGATCAGTTCTTAATCAATTCTAGATACGTTTTAAATCAGTTCTAGACTAGAACTTGCTTAATTCTAGATCAGAACTTTTTGATTTTTAGATTTTGGTGAATTCTTTAATTTGAATCAGTTTAACTACAGGTCTAGATGAGTTCAATTTTAGATCAGTTCTAATTTTATATCAGATCTACTATAATTATAGATCAGATTCTAGACAATTTTTATATCAGTTCTAGATCAGTACTAGAAATAGTTCGAGATCATTTCTATATTAATTTTACATAAGTTTTAAAGCAATTTTAGATCAGTACTTGATCAGTTATAAAACAACTCTTGATCAGTACTTGATCATTTACAAATTAATTCTATTTTTATTTTAGAACATCAATCATTTTCAATTTCTTACTTCCCAATCTTTTCTAGATCAGTTCTAAAACAATTTTGAAGAACATGATTAGGTTTAATCCAATTCTATATTAGTTCTACGATAATTGCAGATCAGTACTGGAAAAATATTCTAGATCTTGATCAATTCTTTAATTCTAAATCCGTTCTATAATAGTTCTACATCAGTTCTACAACAATTTGGGATCTGTATATGATCACATCTAAACCAATTCTAGATCAGTTCTGCAATAATTGTAGATCAGTTTTTAATCAGTTCTTGACAAGTTCAAACCAATTTTTGATCGGTTCTACATTAATTCTCGATGAATTCTTGATCAGAGTACTAGATAATTCTAGATCAATACTTTATTAATTCGTGAACACTACTAGATAATTTCCAGTCATTGGACCAGTCCACAGACTAGTCTTAAAACTAATTCTTAAACTAGTCCATAGATTATCTAAATAGTCCAGCCTTAATCTTAAGAGATCTTGACCTTAAAAGATCATAAAATAGTTTAGCATTTGTCACAATTGGTGGCATAGGAGTTCAAAATTATCGTCAATGTAGGTCTTAAATTAGCCTCAATCGTAGGTATTGCTGGAGGTCAATATTATTCTCTATTGTTGCGTACAATTCCTAGATGTTCAAGTAGTTTAACATTAGCTTTAATCATAGATCTTTAAATAGTCCAGAAATGAGCTTTTTCGCAACCGTTAATCTTAAACTTGTCCAACATTTGTTACATTCGAAGATCTTTCTATATAAGTCCAGCATTGGTCTCAATCGTCGGTCTTTCAGAAGATCTATTTTGTCCTCAATTTGTCCTCTTTAAGTAGTGGTCCAACAGTTGTTACGATGTTGGGTCCTAAAGTGATCTTTATTGTAAATTTTAAAAACTTATTTAGGTCTTTACAATGAAAATTTTGTTTAGTAAACCTTTTATAAAATAAAAATTTGATTATAAATATGGGGCTAAATATATTAAAGAAAATTGTTTCTTTAATATTGTGCTCACACCAAAGAAAATTTCCATTTTTCCTTTAATATTGTGTTCTTATTAAAGAAATTGTCCTCTTTTTGTTTAATACTGTATTCAAACGAAAGCAAATTCTGTTGTTTTCTTTAATATATTAAAGAAAATTCCATTTTTCTTTAATATTGTGTTCACACCAAAGAAAATTTCCTTTTTCCTTTAATATTGTATTCACACTAAAGAAAATTCCCTTTTTTCTTTAATATTGTATTCACACTAAAGAAAATTCCCTTCTTTCTTTAATATTGTGTTCAAACTAAAGAAAATTCCTTTGTTTTCCTTTCCTTTGTGTTCACACGAAAGAAAATTCCATTTTTCTTTAATATTGTGTTCACACTAAAGAAAACTTCCTTGGTTTCCTTAATATTATGTTCACACTAAAGAAATTTTCCTTGTTATTTTTAATATCGTGTTCACACTAAAAAATCCTTTGTTTTCTTTAATATTGTGTTCACACTAAAAAAAATTCCCTTGTTTTCTTCAATATTGTGTTCACTCTAAAGAAAATTCCCTTGTTTTCTTTAATATTGTATTCACACTAAAGAAATTCCCTTGTTTACTGTGTTCACACGAAAATAAATTCTGTTGTTTTCTTTAATATAGTGTTCCCATCAAAAAATCCTTTTTCTTTAATATTGTGTTCCCACCAAAGAAAATTCCCTTGTTTTCTTTAATATTGTGTTCCCACCAACTAAAGAAAATTTAATATTGTGTTCACACCAAAGAAAATTTCCTTTTTCCTTTAATATTGTGTTTAACTAAAGAAATATCCCTTTTAAATTTAATTTTTCCCTTAATAAAACTCTTGTACATTTTCATTTTTTCAAACTTTATTATTTTCAATATTTTGTGTTTTTTTTTCGTTTTTCTCAAATCAATTCAACTTAAAAACATAAAAATTCAAAATAGAACTAAAAGAAAATTATAAATAAAATTATTATTTTGTCTTCATATAAATAAATTTAAATAAAAATTTATTATTAATTAATTAAATAAAAAAAAACTAAATTAAATTAAGAAAATAGAGTAAAATGAATAAAAAAATTTAATATTTTTGTTTGTTTAAACAGTAGACATACCAATTAAATAAATAAAAAGGAATAAAAAGGGGAGTTTTTAAAAAATAGTTATAAATGATGAAAATACAATAAATATTCTTTGGTACATTTTTGTTTAATACTGTATTCAAACGAAAGCAAATTCTGTTGTTTTCTTTAATATATTAAAGAAAATTCCATTTTTCTTTAATATTGTGTTCACACCAAAGAAAATTTCCTTTTTCCTTTAATATTGTATTCACACTAAAGAAAATTCCCTTTTTTCTTTAATATTGTATTCACACTAAAGAAAATTCCCTTCTTTCTTTAATATTGTGTTCAAACTAAAGAAAATTCCTTTGTTTTCCTTTCCTTTGTGTTCACACGAAAGAAAATTCCATTTTTCTTTAATATTGTGTTCACACTAAAGAAAACTTCCTTGGTTTCCTTAATATTATGTTCACACTAAAGAAATTTTCCTTGTTATTTTTAATATCGTGTTCACACTAAAAAATCCTTTGTTTTCTTTAATATTGTGTTCACACTAAAAAAAATTCCCTTGTTTTCTTCAATATTGTGTTCACTCTAAAGAAAATTCCCTTGTTTTCTTTAATATTGTATTCACACTAAAGAAATTCCCTTGTTTACTGTGTTCACACGAAAATAAATTCTGTTGTTTTCTTTAATATAGTGTTCCCATCAAAAAATCCTTTTTCTTTAATATTGTGTTCCCACCAAAGAAAATTCCCTTGTTTTCTTTAATATTGTGTTCCCACCAACTAAAGAAAATTTAATATTGTGTTCACACCAAAGAAAATTTCCTTTTTCCTTTAATATTGTGTTTAACTAAAGAAATATCCCTTTTAAATTTAATTTTTCCCTTAATAAAACTCTTGTACATTTTCATTTTTTCAAACTTTATTATTTTCAATATTTTGTGTTTTTTTTTCGTTTTTCTCAAATCAATTCAACTTAAAAACATAAAAATTCAAAATAGAACTAAAAGAAAATTATAAATAAAATTATTATTTTGTCTTCATATAAATAAATTTAAATAAAAATTTATTATTAATTAATTAAATAAAAAAAAACTAAATTAAATTAAGAAAATAGAGTAAAATGAATAAAAAAATTTAATATTTTTGTTTGTTTAAACAGTAGACATACCAATTAAATAAATAAAAAGGAATAAAAAGGGGAGTTTTTAAAAAATAGTTATAAATGATGAAAATACAATAAATATTCTTTGGTACATTTAGCTGCAATTGAAATGGTTTTTAACAATGGTTTTTTGTTTTAAATCAATGTCTTCCTTAAGGTAAAAAAAAATTAAGAGGCCAAATAAAGGGTTTTTAATTTTAAATAAAAAATAAGAATTTAAAAAAATTTTTACTAAATTTAAAAAAAATTATAAGAAACTTAAAAATTAATATTTAAAAGCAAAAGTCTTCCAGGGTTTGTTTGTTTTTTTCTTAATTTCTATAAAAAAATAAGTCTATACACAATTTTAAAAACTAAAACTTAAATTTATAATAAAGATTAAAATGGTTTTTGGGGGGTTTTAAGGTTTGTTTGTTTTGCTTTAACTTAATTTTAACTTAAAGAGAAATTTTAAAATTTTTATATTTTATTTTATTATAATTATATAAAAATTTAATATAAATTGTTATATATTTTGGATTACTAGTTTGTTTGTTTAAGTTGTTTTTTTATAAATTTAGTTTAACATTAAAAAAGCCTTGTTTATAGTTTAAAGAAATGGGTTCAAAAACTTTGGCTTTAATTAAGACTTAGCTTTTTTTAACAAATTCTTTTTTCTTAAAAAAAAAATCCAACAAATGTTTGGATTTTATATAAAATTTACAGGAGATTTTGGAGTTTTTTTTTGGGGGGTGGGAGAGAGCATTTCAACAACTACTGCTGACTTCCATTTTTACTAAGGGATTATTGGTATTATTACTGGCACTAGTCGAGAGTGAGTGTTCCTCATGACGACTTTCACGATGTCTTCTTAAATCAACTTTGCGTTGGAAAGCCTGATCACAGAGACCACAACCGAAGGGTTTATAGCCAGTATGCTTGCGCATATGGGTAATCAAATTTGAACTCTGGCTGAAGGCTTTAAGGCACACGGTACATTTATGGGGTTTTTCACCTAAAAATAGACACAAAATAAAAGGGAAAAATTAGAAATTGGGTAAAAAAAAAAATATTTATAAAAAATATGATCTATTTTATTATTTTGTAATAATTTTCCCAAAAAATTAATATAAACAGATTTTTTGAAAAAATTTCTAATGAGGAAATTTTTTAAAAATTTTGGGAATTCTTAAAATCGGCTAAAATGACAGGAAACTTATTAAAAGTTAGAAAATTATTATTTCCCACAAAAATTAACCATTCCCAGGAAGTTAAAACTAATCCCTGATATTAAAAATGGGGAAATTTTATTAAAAACAAATGCCAGTTAATAAAAATGGGGAAATTTTAATAAAAAACGGGAAAATTTTATAAAAAGTGTATAAAATAATGTTAGTTTTTTCGTATTTCTAAAATAAATCGATTAAAAAATCGTTTTGGACAATTTTGGTTTGAGGAAATTTTTCAAAAGTTTTTGGGAATTCTTAAAATCAAACGAAAACAATAGAAAATTTATTAAAATACTTAAAACGATTATTTCCCATAAAAAGTAACAAATCCCAGGAATTTAAAACAAATCCCAGTTAATAAAAATGGGGAAATTTTATTTAAAACTAATGCCCGTTAATAAAAATGGGGAAATTTTTATTTTTTTTTTTTTTTATAATTTTTTTTATTTTTTTTATAATAAGTGTATAAAATAATGTTAGTTTTTTCGTATTTCCAAAATAAATCGATTAAAAAATATTTTTGGAAAATTTTGGTTTGAGGGAATTTTTCAAAAGTTTTTGGGAATTCTTAAAATCAAACAAAAACAATAGCAAATTATTTCCCATAAAAACTAACAATTCCTAGGAATTTAAAACAAATCCCAGTTAATAAAAATGGGGAAATTTTATTTAAAACTAATGCCCGTTAATAAAAATGGGGAAATTTTTATAAAACTAGGGAGATTTTTATAATAAGTGTATAAAATAATGTTAATTTTTTGTATTTCCAAAATAAATCGATTAAAAAATCTTTTTAGAAGATTTTGTTCTGAGGTAATTTTACAAAAGTTTTTGGGAATTCTTAAAATCAGTTAAAAACAATAGAAATGTTTTTAAAATGACAAAAAAAATTATTTCCCACAAAAATTAACAATTCCCAGAAAGTTAAAACAAATCCCGATTACAAAAAAATTAAGGGAATTTGAACATTTTCTAAAATAATTCTAAATTCAGTTTATTACTTAACTTTCTAATGATTTCAATTCCCTTTTACAATAAAATCCTTTGTATATTATTTAAACTTATTTATCTATTGACTAAAATCTACTTAATTTTCTTTATTACTTTGTCCTTTTTTTAAACTACAAAATCAAATCTCCCCGACAAAAGTAAATATCACTTTTTTACCATAATTTTCCCCCTTCTTTTTCATAACAAATTACTTAATTATTTATTCCAATCTATTAGTTAAATTAAATCAGATATGATGGTTATGCACTTAATCGTTTATAAAATACAATAAATATTACAATTCCTGTGGAAAAAAGCACGACAAGTGATTTAAACTTAAAATTATAAAAAAGGGGGGACATACAGCAAAAACAATGTGTTAAAGTCACGTGACGTGTTAAATTTTTTTTGCTTGTATGCTTTATATGCAAAAAACCGGGCAGGCAGGCATGCATGAATTTTCTATAGAACAATTACAACAAGAATAAAACTACTCAAGATGGGTGGCATGTGTGTGTGTGTGTGAGAAAGAGTATAACAGCAATAGAGTGATTGTTATGACAAGTGTTAATTTAATGATGGCAAAAAGGCAAAAATAAAAGGCAAGGGATTAATAAAGTTAACGGTTAAAAAGGTTACCAGATTAAGAAAAAATATGGTATGACTAAAAAGTAAATGGGAATTAATAAAATATCTTAAAAATAACAAGAAAGTTATTAAAACGTTGTTAATGTTTTAGTTTTCTAAGAAATTCATTGAAAACTGGACTTCCGGGGAAATTTTTGAAAAAAAGGGATTTTAGAAAGTATATGGGAATTCCTAAAATCCATAAAAATAGCTTGGAAACTTATTAGAAAGGTAATATTTATCAATTCCAACAGAAATTAATAAATCCCAGTAAGTTAAAACAAATCCCAGTTAATGAATTTGAGGGATTTTTTAAACAAAAATTAGGAATTTTCAAAATGAGTATAAAATTTGATTTTGCTATTTATTTCTTCAAAGCTGAAACATTTTTAGTGAATTTTTGGAAAAATTTTGTTATAAGGGGATTTTTGAAAAGTAAATGGAAATTGGTAAAATTTCCCAAAAACTGTTGAAATATTGACAGAAAACAAAAATCTATTATTGCCTTCAAAATTAACAATTCCCAGTAACTAAAACCAAATCCCGGTTAATAAAATTGAGGAAATTTTAAAAATAAAAACTAGGAATTTATAGAAATATCTAAAAATATGATTTTAAATTATTTTTTCATTTAGTTTTATAAACCGGGAACATTTCTAAACGATTTTTGGAGTAAATTTTATTTTGAGGGGATTTTTGAAAAGTAAATGGGAATTCGTAAAAACTGGCAAAAACCAAGGAAATCTTTTTAAAAAGTAAAAATTTATTGTTTTCAATGAAAATTAACCAATCCCAGGAGTTGCATTTAATAAAAAATGGGAAAATGTTGATAAAAAATAAGGAAATTTTAGAGTTACTTACCAGTATGTATATAAGTATGTTTTTTCATATCCGATTTCTGATGAAAACGTTTGCCACAATATTGACAGGGATAGGGACGGGTATCGCTATGTATCAGTAAATGTGTCGATAGGGTAGATGAACGTTTAAAAGATTTACCACATTGTTTGCACTAGAAATAGTTGAAGAAAAAAAAAAATAAATAATGGAAAAATTAATATAAAATATTTTTTCTTTAACAATAATTTAAAAATAAAACTAATGACGAAAATTCCCCATATTTAAACAGTTTGTCTGATATACATATAAAAAATCTACACAATCAAAACTAATCAAAGTCTCGAAAAAAAGGTTTTATTTAAAATATTTTTTCGAAATTTTATATTTATTTTCTTCTTGTTGTCTTAATAAAAAAAAAAAACAAAATTGTTGTTTGGTAAAACAGCTAAATAAATATGAAATCTTATATAGAAGAGGATCTAGGGTTTATTTAAAAATACTTTATTTTTTTCTTCTACCATTTCAGCTGTACTAATTTGTTTGCTTTTTTTTGAATTTAAATAAATGTTGTTGAATATTTTTTTAAAATTACTTTTTATTTAACAAGAAAACAACTCCTTAATGACATCAATATATATTTTTTTTGAAAAAAATCTTTATGCATTTTTTTCTATTTATTTAATTTTCTCTCTCTCTTTATTTTAATAAACATATTTACACAGTTTGCTTACAAGGGTTTACTGTCTACTCTGATGTTTTGTTACATTTTAAATTTCTAAATGTGTCACTATTAGTTAGTGTAGCTTTTGTTTAATATTTGTACGTGTTAATCATAAATAATTTTTCAATATTTTTCTATTATTTATTTTCAAAATCAATAATGACACAAGTGTTTTGTTGTCTGTTATATGGATTTTTGTTTCTTCTCTCTTCTAATTTGTTAAAATGCAAGTCAGAGCTGCTGTTTATAATGCATTTAGAAGAAAAAAATTGGTTTTTCGTTAAAGAAAATTTAAATTTAAAACGGAAATGAAATTTGCATAAATTTTTTGTAGCATTTCAAAAATTTTTTCTTGCACTATTTACTCTTGAGGTGTTAAACTTTGACAGCTTAAAACTCTTCTCAAACCTTTCCGATTTTATTAAAAGTTGATTAAAAGATAAAGTCATTATCTTTAATTTTGTCCTAGATTATATTCAAATCGGTTCAGAAATTTCAAAGATATATAGAAAATTATGAATTTGTATCAACAAAATTTCTAATTTTCTTTTACACCTGAGGTATTCAACTTTGACGGCCTATAGCTCACCTTCAAATTCCTTTAAATTGAATAAAAGTTTATTATTCCAAAGGCTTTTATCCTTATCTATGAGTTTATCATGGACTGTATTGAATTCGGTTCAGATGTTTCAAAGATATATAGATATATAGTCTTTAGCTCATCTTAAATATCTTCAACTTCAAGTTAAAGTTTATTATTCCAAAAGCTTAAGTCCTTATTTATGATTTTGTCATAAAGTATATTCAAATCGGTTCAGTTTTTAAAAAGATATATTAACATCTACAAATTTGTTTTAATATATACTGTTCTTTTAATTTTGATCGCCTGTAGTTAATTGTTTGCTTTAGAGGAGTTGATTGAAATTTAAGTGGTTTGAAAGCTTACATTCTTATCTATAAATTCCTCCGATATGTTAACAAAATCGGTTCGGTTTTCTAGAAGATATATTAATATTAACAGAAAGGTTTAGCAATAAAAATATTGCTATATTTCAATCTGTAGAAGGTTAACTTTGACGCACTGAAGCTTATATTGTAGGACAAAGAAAAGCTTAAAGTTTTAATTTTCTAAAAGCTTAAGTCCTCAACTATAATTCTGTTATACCTTAAATTAAAATCGTTCAGTATTTTAGAAGATATAATATCAAGATTTTTACAGAAAAAATTACTATATACTCTTTTTTCACTTAGAAAAGGTCAAGTTTGACAGTCAAAAGCTTACATTGTATGACATGGAAAAGCTTAAAGCTTTTATTTTCTAAAAGCTTAAGACCTCAGCCATAATTTTGCTATATATTATGTAGAAATCGGTTAAATATTTTTGAAGATAATAAGAGATTTATAGAAAAGCGGGCCAACTTTGAGAGTTGAAAGCTTATATTGTAAAATAAAAGCAAAAGCTTAAAGCTTTAATTTTCTGAAAGCTTAAGTCCTTAGCTATACTTTGTCATGCATTGCTTTAAAATCGGTTCAAAAGATAAGAAGTTAATATCCAGAGAAATAATGACAAAAATCATTACCCCTTTTTAAAACAACATGTTCAACTTTGATACTTGAAAGCTTATATTATGTGTCATGAAAATGCTTAAAGCTTTAATTTTCTAAAATCTTAGGGCCTTAGCTATGATTTTGTCCTACATTGTTATAAAATCGGCTCAAAAGCTAAGAAATTACATTAATATCCAGAGAAATAATGACAAAAAATTATTACCCCTTTTTTAGCACAATATGGTCAACTTTGACAGTCAAAAGCTTACATTTTATGGCAAGGAAATGCTCAAAGCTTAAATTTTCTAAAAGCTTAGGACCTCAGCTATGATTTTGTTATATATAGTTTTAAAATCGGTTCAAAAGTTTTGTAGTTCTGGATAATTTTTTTAAATTTATAAAAAAAAAATTCTTTTATAATGCGGTTAAAAATGAAACCTTTTAAAAGCTTACAACCTAAACTATGATTTCTTCATATATTTTATGACAATCATTTCATAAATTAAGAAGCTTTATTTCAAATTTCTGAACTAAGTATCAAAATTAGTAATTAATATATTTATTAGCAAATGAAGCAAACAAAATAAATTACTTGAAATACTAACCTTCAAATTGTAACAATTATCCCAAAACTATTTATTTAACCCCCTTTTTCTGTCAAACAAATTTATTAATAGTTCTCATCATTTTTATACATTTTTTTTCGTAATTAAATCAAATGTTTACCTAAGAAAACGTCTATAAATATTTGTATATATTTTCAAATAAATTGATTGAAATCCTTTAATTTTCATTATAGATTTTAATTGCTTAATATCGTGTTTGCCATAGATTTGACCAACAAATAGAAGAGGTTATAATAACCTCAAACCCCCTCCCCTTAATTGAAAACAATTCAATTAATTGAAAAACAAAATATGGAAATTATTAAAAGAACCCCTTTTTTCTAATTGAAAAACTATAGAATAGTGTTTGAAAGACAGAATGTAAAGCAGGTATTTGTGGGGAAATGCGTGCTTGACCAAGTTGTGTTAATTGTTTTGCTATTATTTACGATTTTATAACATAATTTAATTGCTGTTGTACTAAATAAATAACAAAAATTATAACTTTTCTCCCCCTCTTCCCAACCTTTCCAGGACATATTTGTGTCATTTAAGTGTCTTTTGTCATTGTTTGTAATTTTATAGATAAAAGTGTCATATAAATTTTATTGTCTTTTGGAAAATTCAATTTTTTTTAGGTTTCTATTAAATTGAAATCTCATAACATGCAATTAGTTAATCAAATTAATTAATATAGATTTGTAAATATCAAGGATTTTTCTTCCAAACGATTTATGGTTCAAAATTTCTGTTCTGTTTTTAAAAATATTTAAAAATTCTGAAATTTTATAAAACAAAAATTTTTAAAAATGTCTAAACTTCAAATGTTTATAAAATTGAATATCTATCTTGGATTTGAAAAATTTTTTAGATTATTAAAACTACACATAATCTACTTTCATTATCCGTTGATTTTGTTTAAAAATCTTTAAAATTGTTAATTTTATGTCATTTTGAAAAATCTAAGCAAAAATGGGAAATTTTCAAAAAGTCATAATAATGATTAATTTACTTAAGATTTTAAAATCCTTTTATAGTTAGAATCTTATATACATTTACTTTCATTTTCTATTAAAATTTTTCAATTTAATTTCTTTAACATTCTTTAAACTTTAATTGTTTAAATATTTTAAATAATGTGTGGCACATGGTCTCTTCTCCTTTTAAAACTGCATTTAGTTTTAGTTGGGCTAAAAGCAAGGCAGCAAGTAGGTATGCAACTTGATATGCTTGAAAGGTTTCTTCTTTAAAAACTGTTGGCAGCCTGCCAGCCAAGATCGTTTTCGTTTTTTACGTTTGATCGTTATTATTTTTTCTTACGATCACAATTTTGTGCGTGTGACTTCTTAGGAATAAACAGATGGCTTAAATGGCTTATCGGTAGGTTTTAATGATTATTTTTTTCGGATTTTTTGGAAATTATCAAATTAAAAAAATCTGTAGTGTTTTTTTTTCATAAATGTAACAGCATTACTTTCGTTTTGATCAGTGCATCTGTTGTAGTTTTTTTATTATTGAAAAATGAAAAGGATCAAAAATGGGTGGTCTGTTGAAAATTGAACATATGAATATGGAAAATAAAAACAGTTATAAAAGTAAACAAAAGTAAAACTACAACTTTTTGTAACTCCAAAAAAAAAAAAAATTACAAGAAAATGTTAAAAAATATTTTTAAAAATCATGAAAATTTTTCATAAAAAAGGTTCGTTTACTTCTTATCGGAGTCTATTTTTAGCTTTTCCAAAGTAAATTTAATTACCTAAATTAATGTTAAAACGGTTGCCTTAGTTGTTTTTTGATTTCTACTTCTTTTATCACTTCCCAGGAAGTTCTTGCTTTAATGTTATATATTTCCTCGGTCTTTTAATATTTCCAAACCATATTTGTTATATCAAAAGAACAAGTGTTAGGCTTTCAAAATATATTTAAAAGAGTTATTAAACTTGCCTACTGTGGCAGCTACAGTGGGTCAAAGTTGATAACCTCAAATTAAAATCTATTCATATCTTTTTTGGAATATGAATGAATTAGGAACACTTTTTCATCATTTGCAAAGCAAATTTAATTACCTAAATTATTGTTAAAACGGTTGCCTTAGTTGTTTTTGATTACTAATACTTTGAGATTTCTACTTCTTTTATCACTTCCCAGGAAGTTCTTGCTTTAATGTAAGATATTTTCCTGGTCTTTTAATATTTCCAAACCATTTTTGTTATATCAAAAGAACAAGTGTTAAGCTTTCAAAATATATTTAAAAAAGTTATTAAACTTGTCCACAGTAAACGCTACAGTGGGTCAAAGTTGATAACCTCAAATTAAAATCTATTCATATCTTTTTTGGAATATGAATGAATTAGGAACACTACAGCTACAGTGGGTCAAAGTTGATAATCTCAAATTAAATATTTTTTTATCTTTTCTTGTATATGAATGAAATAGGAACACTTTTTCATCGCTTCCAAAGTTCAATTTAATTACCTAAATTAATGTTAAAGTGATTGCCTTAGTGGTTTTTTGATTACTACTACTTTGAGATTTATACTTCTTTTATCACTTCCTAGGAAGTTCTTCCTTTAATGTAAGATATTTTCTTGGTCTTTTTATATTTTCAAACCATATTTTTTATATCAAAAGAAGAAGTCTAAAGCTTTCTATATAAAGTTAATAGTGGTTACTAATTTGCTTACAGGGGACACTACAGTGGGTCAAAAATTATAACCTCAAATTAAGAATTTGGAAGAAAAACTAAATTTTGAACTAAATGTTTTGTTAATTGCAAAACATTTGTGCATGATTTCCTAAACTTACCTGAAAATTTCTAGCCGTTCTTTTTTCACCATTATGTGAAATAGCTCCACCACTGCCACCACCATCACTATCCTGATACGAACTTGAAGACATGCGCACATCTGTTAAACTACCAATCAAGGCAGTAGAATCGGGATGTTGTTGCTGCTGCTGCTGTTGTTGCTGATGATGTTGGGAAATGAAATGTTGTTGTTGTTGCTGTTGATGATATTTTGAATCTTGAAAATCTTCACTTAAAGGTAAATCACCACCGTTACTATCATTATCACTATTTGATTGTTGAACAAACAGATCCACTCTTTGTTGTCTTAACAATTCCAATTCTCGTTGTGTTTGAGCCTTTAAATGTTGAGTCAGCAATTCCAAATTATTACCCGCTAAACCGGCCATAAAGGCATTACGATGGGCATAGATTTGTTGTTGAGCCAATTCGATTTCAGGATTCGATTTAGAGGAAGTGCGTGGAAATGTGGCAGGACCCGATATAGAGGATAAGGGTGTTAGTAGATTGGCATCTTGTAGTTGTTGGTGGTGATGTTGTTGTTGCCGGGAATAGGAATTTCTTCTTTCATATTTAAATTTACGCACTATGGGATCCATATCCCCCTGCTCTTCCGTTTGCTGTTGATATCTCAAGGATTTCTCACACATACTGGCTGGTGACCAGATATGTGAACCCTGTGATCTTCTTTTGGCAGCCGGCTCATAATCTTCCTCCTCTTCATCGCCTCCTTCAGCTTCTGGTGTACGTGGTGAGGATTTGAGATTTACCGCTCTTAAGGGCGGAGGAGTGCCTGATTCCATAGAGTTTTCTTCATTTTGTGGTGAACGTTTAATGGATAGATTTAGCGGCATATCTTCATTAAGGCACTCATCTTGTGAGGATGCAGATATATCCTCTTTTTCGGGTGTTAAGGCATAATCTCTGTTATTGGCAATGGTTAAAGGAGATTTGGGCGTTATGGGGGTGTGTGGCGATCCCAAGGCGGAAGCTGAGGAGAGTAAGAATTGTGGCCATAATAGGGCGCTGGAGTACAGCAGGGGATTGTAGAGAAAGGGTGGTAAATCTGTAAAAGAGAATTTTCGAGGAAAGATTTGTTGATGAATAGAATTTTTAAAGAAGTTAGGGATTGTTCAAAAAGCCTAAAGCTTTTATCGAAAGCTACTGAAAGCATAAAGCTGTTGAGCTTTATAAATTTGTAAGTTTTTTTTTTTAATTTGTAAAAGCTTAATGCGAGAAGAAGATTGACATTGACATTATTAAACGCTATTAAGACTAAAAGCTTTACTTAAAACATTTAAAGTGTTTCAGGAGCTTTTGATGAAAGCTTTTAGAATCTAAAAACTTAATATTTTTATAAACTAAAAGTTTTAAAGAGTTCAAATGCTTTTTTACAAAATATTTCTCCATACAAACATTCTTTACACCTAAGGAGCTTTCAGAAAAGCCCATAGCAGCTTAGCACTTTTAAAAGCTTTAAGTTTTTGTAATATTTTACAAAGAAAAATGTTAGACCTTAAAGCTTTCAACATAAAAAATACAGTTTAAAAGCTTTAATATTTTGTAAATGAAAAACTTATGCAAAGCTAAAATTTTTAACTTCAGAAACTTTTAAAAGCCTAGTTACTTTGGTTTGGGAAGAGGCAAAGAAGGTTTTAGTTTTTTTCTAAAAGAAATTTTAAAGCTTTTGATGTTAAACTTTTTGAAGTTTAGTAGAGGGTATACTTTTTAAAGTGTTATCGATATTTTTAAAGTATTTACAAGAATGTCAAGAAAAGCTTAAAGCTTTTGGAATTTAATAAAAAGAAACTTTTAATGTAAAGCTTTCTTTTGTTACTAATTATAAATGATTGGTATAAAATACTAGAGAAATCTATTCTTGAAACTTTTTTGAACTTTTAGGTAAAACTTAGGCTTTGTTTTTTTAAAGTTAAAGTTTTTTTATATTTTTAAAAATTTGTATAAATTGAAAGTTTTTCTCAAACGAAATAGTGAGGAATTTGAAAATGAATCCGAATTTTAAAAAGTCTTAAGTTTATTGTTTACAAATGATTTAGTTTTAACAGTTTCACGTAAAAGCTTTAAATACAAAGCTTTCTACATATTTTTTATTAGTAAATCTTAAGTTTAATTAATTTTTTTCTTATTGTTTTTAAAAAAGTTTGAATATTGTTTTGAAATTCTTTGGTTTTGAGAGATTTCCTTTAAAAGCTTTAAATATAAAGCTTTTCAAATGCTTTGCTTTTATCTTATTTATAGTGTTTTAATAATTTTAAAATTTGTAACAACGAGCTCTTTTTAATGAGAACTTGAGGCTTTGAAAGCATTGATTTATAACTTTGAGTTAAGACAAATCTACAAATGTTATTTTTGGTTATTTTAAAAGCTTTAACACTTAATAATTCTTACGTTAACAATTTAGATTTTGCTTTTTTTCTATATATAAAAACTTTATAAACGTTTTTAACCGTTTTTGAATATTTCTGAAACTTAAGCTTTAGTTTTCCTTAAGCTTTAAGTTCTTTCTTGTTTAAATCTTAAGCTTACCTCTGGTATTCAACTTTTGAGCTGCAGCATTTGCCATTACGTTATTAAAAGCCGAAGCTCTTTGTATCCAATTTTTGGAATTCGCCAAATTCATATCCAAAGCAGGATTATTGAAATTATTCAAAGGTGTAGGTTTAGATTGAGGTGAGGGTGGTGGTGATAAATGATTCATGTTGTTAGATAAATAATTTTAAAACAATTTTTCTTAAAATTTTTAAACAATATCCTTTATTTTGTATTAAATAATTTATAAAAACACTTTATTATTCACACATTTATTTAAAGAAAGAGATTTGTAACTAGGCACTTGTTTAATTTGTAAAAGATTTTAAATAATTTTCTTTTCTTAAGGAAAATTTGTTAAGAATTTTCTTTTTTATAATTTTTTTTTGGATTTGTTTTAAATATTCCTCTTTTGAATTGAATTTGTTAATGAAAATAACCCGTAAATATAACGCTTTGTTTGGGAATTTCTTTTAAATAATTTGTAACTCTGATCTTTTTAATTTTGTTTGTCAATAAGAGAACACGTCCGTTCGGTTTGGTGCTTGGCACCTGACTGAATCTTTCAATGTTGTTTAGGTTCTGAAAAGACTCTGGTGTGATGCACGGTGTAGTTAGCCCGGCTAGCTAAATCGCATAAGTAAGTGTGTTATAATAATATGGCCAAAATCGTAGCCTTAAACCAAAAACCAACCAAAGCCAGTAAAACAGCAACAAATAACAACCACCACCAACTACAACTACCAACAAAATAATATGTTACCCATACTCTAGCAAAACAACACAAAACAATGAGAGTAAATTCAGTTAAAAGAGAAAACGAAGGTGAAACGAATCAAAACGGTTTTTGAAAACTGTTGTTGTTTGTTAAATAAAAACCGATCGTGTTTTTGGTAGGGATTTTTTGTTGCTGTAATTTAAAACATTCCATATGTTGTTTCTAAGATCTTCACAAAAAAAAGAGTCCAAAAAATCACCCCTAAATTTTCGAAATCCTCCACATATAAAGTATCCTTTTCCAAACTCTCGTTAATTTAACTTGCTCATCTTTAGACCATCAATTTACTCTCTGCTAACAATTTACTCTCCTTGATCATTTAGTTGATTTCTTTTTTCCTTCTTTTTATTATAGTATTTGTTAGCACGCGTTCTCTCATTACTAATTGGTTTTGAAAACGTTTGGCGGGTGTTTTGTATTCCTTTTTTCTTTGGTTTGCCCAACTGACACTTTTTGTATCTCCTTTATTTGTTTCCTATAGCCAAGTCAAGAGTATTTTATATAAAAAAACTGAAAAAAGAACAGTTTGTAATTCATTTAAAAACGTTTTTTTAATCCTTAGGGGTAAAAAAACTGTTGTTTGTTCCTTTCTTTCTCTTGGTTTTGAGGTTAAAGGAAACCGTTTGTTAATCTTAACAATTTTTTTTAATTAAAGTACCTGACTTTTTGGAAGAAATCTTAAGTTTTCAAAGTTTTTTCTTGAAATACAAAAAAATATATATCAGGAAGATTTTTTCCTGCAATGAAATTAATAATTAATGTCGATTTAATATCCCAGACAATATTCTCATGTTTCTAAAGCTTCCATGAAGATCACACAGACGATCTAAAGTAAATTAAACAAAACTAGAACAGAACTAGAAAAGAACTAGAACAGAAGTAGAACTGAACCAGAACTGAACCAGAACTGAACTGGAACTGTAATAAAACTGAACTAGACCAGAACTGAACTAGAACTGAACTAAAACTGAAGTAGAACTGAACTAGAACTGAACTAGAACTGAACTAGAACTGAACTAGAACTGAACTAGAACTGAACTAGAACTGAACTAGAACTGAACTAGAACTGAACTAGAACTGAACTAGAACTGAACTAGAACTGAACTAGAACTGAACTAGAACTGAACTAGAACTGAACTAGAACTGAACTAGAACTGAACTAGAACTGAACTAGAACTGAACTAGAACTGAACTAGAACTGAACTAGAACTGAACTAGAACTGAACTAGAACTGAACTAGAACTGAACTAGAACTGAACTAGAACTGAACTAGAACTGAACTAGAACTGAACTAGAACTGAACTAGAACTGAACTAGAACTGAACTAGAACTGAACTAGAACTGAACTAGAAACTGAACTAGAACTGAACTAGAACTGAACTAGAACTGAACTAGAACTGAACTAGAACTGAACTAGAACTGAACTAGAACTGAACTAGAACTGAACTAGAACTGAACTAGAACTGAACTAGAACTGAACTAGAACTGACTAGAACTGAACTAGAACTGAACTAGAACTGAACTAGAACTGAACTAGAACTGAACTAGAACTGAACTAGAACTGAACTAGAACTGAACTAGAACTGAACTAGAACTGAACTAGAACTGAACTAGAACTGAACTAGAACTGAACTAGAACTAGAACTAGAACTGAACTAGAACTGAACTAGAACTGAACTAGAACTGAACTAGAACTGAACTAGAACTGAACTAGAACTGAACTAGAACTGAACTAGAACTGAACTAGAACTGAACTAGAACTGAACTAGAACTGAACTAGAACTGAACTAGAACTGAACTAGAACTGAACTAGAACTGAACTAGAACTGAACTAGAACTGAACTAGAACTGAACTAGAACTGAACTAGAACTGAACTAGAACTGAACTAGAACTGAACTAGAACTGAACTAGAACTGAACTAGAACTGAACTAGAACTGAACTAGAACTGAAGAACTGAACTAGAACTGAACTAGAACTGAACTAGAACTGAACTAGAACTGAACTAGAACTGAACTAGAACTGAACTAGAACTGAACTAGAACTGAACTAGAACTGAACTAGACTACAAGAACTGAACTAGAACTGAACTAGAACTGAACTAGAACTGAACTAGAACTGAAAACTAGAACTGAACTAGAACTGAACTAGAACTGAACTAGAACTGAACTAGAACTGAACTAGAACTGAACTAGAACTGAACTAGAACTGAACTAGAACTGAACTAGAACTGAACTAGACTGAACTAGAACTGAACTAGAACTGAACTGAACTGAACTAGAACTGAACTAGAACTGAACTAGAACTGACTAGAACTGAAACTAGAACTGAACTAGAACTGAACTAGAACTGAACTAGAACTGAACTAGAACTGAACTAGAACTGAACTAGAACTGAACTAGAACTGAACTAAACGGAACTGAACTAGAACTGAACTAGAACTAGAACTAGAACTGAACTAGAACTAGAACTACTAAACTGAACTAGAACTGAACTAGAACTGAACTAGAACTGAACTAGAACTGAACTAGAACTGAACTAGAACTGAACTAGAACTGAACTAGAACTGAACTAGAACTGAACTAGAACTGAACTAGAACTGAACTAGAACTGAACTAGAACTGAACTAGAACTGAACTAGAACTGAACTAGAACTAGAACTGAACTAGAACCTGAACTAGAACTGAACTAGAACTGAACTAGAAAATCTATTTTTTGTTGAAAAAATTGATTTTTTTGATAAAAAATGGAATTTTTAGTGAAAAGTCAAATTTTTTTTAAAAATATATTTTTTTTTTTTTTTTTAGTTTTAGTAAAAAACCTTTATTATTATGAATGTTGCGTTTATTGTACGAATTTGTTGAAAGCAAGTTTTTTTAGGAAAAAATATGATTTTTTAATGAAATGTGGAATTTAATTTTATTAAAAAAATTTTGTTAAAAAAAATAATTTTTGAATAATTTTGTATTTTACTATGAAATTGATTTTTGATTCAAGTACTGAACTGATCCTAAACTTCAAAATTGAAAAAGTATTGATTCTGTACTAATTTAGGCTTGATCCGGAACTTATTTTATAAGAGCACAAGTAGAACTTGAGCAGTTATAGAATAAAAATCGTCAAAAATCATTAGTTCAAAACAAAACATTTCGGGGCAAGAAAAAATTAGTGGGGTTTGTTTGCATATTTTACATTACTACCCTCCTCAAAATTTTGTCCTACTAATTAATTCAAAAATTTCTACTTAGAATCTGTATATTATATAAAACAAATATTACTGTAGTTAATATCAGATCTACTTAAATACTTTTTCAACTTTATTAATTTCACAAAAAGCCAACTTAAAATAAATAAAATTAAACTGAAAATAATTCTCATTAATAAAACCAAATAAAATATTTACCCTACTTTAGAAAAATGGGAAAAAACACTTGTTTTTTCGAAGCTTTATTAACTATAAACTAATTATTATTGCTAATAATTAAATTATAATTCATCTAAATATTTCTCATTAAATAACTATAATAAAAAAACAACAAAATAAATATGAATGAAATTCCTATAGAAAACAAATAAACAAACAAATACTAATACATTGTTCAGAGTTGTTGTTTTTGTCAACTCTGAATAAAGCAAAGTCAACGCCTTTTTTTGTATAAAACCAAACAACCAATCGCAGTTTAGTAAACAGACAAAATAACAATAACAAAAAAGGCAAAACACACTTATACTACACACACCTGCATTAATTATAACGGCTATGTGAAGGTATTTTGTATTACTTATAAATAGCTAGTGGTACGTATACTTAATGTGGTAAGAGATTGTAAGAAATTCACCACTAATACTCAACGTATTACACAAGGTGTGTGTGTGTGTTATTTTGTAGAGAAGAAATGGAAAATGTTGATTTGTTTAGTGTAGTTGTTGTTAAATAAACAGTGTATAGGGGGAAAACTCTTGATAAAATGTAAACAAACTCTTGCTGTATGAGTTTGTTTTTCACAGAGGATTTTCATTTTAAAAAATAAACGGTGATGCCAGATTAAACTAATTTATAGTATTTCAAAGATTTTTAATACGAATTTCAAACCAAAGCTAATCTAGAACAGAACTAGCACAGAACTAGAACAGAACTAGAACAGTACCAGAACAGAACTAGAACAGAACTAGAACAGAACTAGAACAGAACAGAACTAGAACAGAACTAGAACAGAACAGAACAGAACTAGAACAGAACTAGAACAGAACTAGAACATAACTAGAACAGAACTAGAACAGAACTAGAACAGAACTAGAACAGAACTAGAACAGAACTAGAACAGAACTAGAACAGAACTAGAACAGAACTAGAATAGAACTAGAACAGAACTAGAACAGAACTAGAACAGAACTAGAACAGAACTAGAACAGAACTAGAACATAACTAGAACAGAACTAGAACAGAACTAGAACAGAACTAGAACAGAACTAGAACAGAACTAGAACATAACTAGAACATAACTAGAACAGAACTAGAACAGAACTAGAACAGAACTAGAACAGAACTAGAACAGAACTAGAACAGAACTAGAACAAACTAGAACAGAACTAGAACTGAACTAGTACAGAACTAGAACTGAACTAGAACTGAACTAGAACTGAACTAGAACAGAACTAGAACAGAACTAGAACTGAACTAGAACAGAACTAGAACAGAACTAGAACAGAACTAGAACAGAACTAGAACAGAACTAGAACAGAACTAGAACAGAACTAGAACAGA